AAATTGACCTGTTTTATCAAATCCCGAAATCACTGGATTTTTCAAAACTTAAATCCCGGGATCGGGATCAGAACTGAAATCCCGGGATCTCAGGATCCCGTGCAAACCCTATTTCTCACTGATTGTGAGTTCACTTATAGTGAGAATTCACTGTCGAAATGGGGGAAATTGTTCCATTCAAAAGGATCTTAAGTTTGAATATCAAGTACATTTCCATGATCTCTGATCGAAATTATCAAGCATGTAAGTGCTCGATGGTTCGATGAAAATCCATTGCGAATTTTTTTTCACCTTTTAGATAAACTCTGAACTCCTAATTTTCTCAAAATTCAAATGATATAATTCATGCGGTGCATTTCTTCCGTAAAAAATCGAAATTTCCGAAACGGCAGAATTCAGCTGACGTTAATACTGAGAGAAAATGGACTTGAAGCATTGCAAATAAGTGCTTGAGAATTAAGAATCACTGTTTGTTTTATTGTATGATTAAGCGACAATGATGAGTGACAGCAATCGTATATATTATTATTACAAGTGTGTTCGATACGTTTATTTGCCTCGAGCCTTGCAGTACCGAAGTGGACATGATAACGTCCACTTTGGTCTCCGAGTGTGAGTTTTTTCAAAAAATTTATTGATGTCGATTTGCTGCTCACCAGTTTCCTCGTCTAGTTTTTTTTCCATTGTTGTAACTTTTCATCGTTTGATATCAGAGGTCTGCTGCATGAGGTCATACAAGGCCATTCATTTCCAGCTCCATTTTAGGTCCTATCGTTTGCTTCCGTTGTTACGGGAACATTTTTGAGTGAAGCGATGACTATGTGTAAATACATATTCTATTCGTTATCATATTGGCGGATTTTTTGGAAAATGATCAAAGGTAGTTTAAAACGTTTTTTTTTAAATTCTAATACAATTTCTTATTCTCTTAAAAAAAGAGAATAGAGAATGCTTGAAAGGGGTACTTGCAATATCTGAGTAATCACGTGGCTTCGTTATATGACATAACATCAGAAAATCAGCTATATCTTGATAATTGGTCGTCATAATTCAATAAAGTATATATTTTTTGATAACTTGCAATCCATGGAATCCAAAGATGTGAAGTGTACACGGTTCCGCGTGCAAACTTGAAAAAACAGAGTTTGAAAGTGGCACTCTTGATAATCCTATAATGTTTCGTTGAGTTAGACCTGATTTGATTTCTGTTGATAAACTGACGCCACTATTTATTATACTCAGACTTTCGCCTGATCCTAATTATGTTTTTTGGCAATTACGCTTAGTTGCAGATGAATACCTCAATTTCTGAAGGTGTGTTATCTAAGTGAGCGATTGCATTATGCCTCTCATTTCTACGCGTTGCATCTCTGTGATCAATCAACGCTAGGGTTTCTCAAACTGAGGTCCATGGACCCCCTGGGGGTCCGAGACGGGGGCATCTTAAAATTTTCTCAGGAGTCAACGGAGCAAAAAAGGTTGAGAATCACTGATCTATGTGTTATCAAAAGCATTATGCAAAGTATTATGCTCAAACTAACTGTATTCTCAGGCTTGATCAGAAGCATAATGATTTCTTCACACGGTTGCATTCTCCATTTTCAGAACAATATATGTGTTTTCGAGCGATCATGATTGGTTCAGATAAATATGTTAACATCTAGAGTGCCTTTATTTTCAGACTGCCTTATTCTCACGACTGATTCAACACTGTCTTCCTGTATGAAGTGGAACAAAAGTGTTAACGATGGTCTATGGACTGTATACTCGTGCCTTGAATAAGTACAACTTTAGAAATGAGGTCGCTAACACAGTCCAATAAGTGAAGCACAAAAATTTTACGAGTATGATGCTCACGATGTTCGTAAAGAATTCCGCAAACTTGCAATTTTGCAACTGAAAATGGATTCTGATGAACTCTTTGATTCTTTCTGAAGCTTATATTCTCAATTTGATCAACACCCATCTCATTTTACCGTAACCTGCTCTCAAGTATGCTTGCCTCACCAGACTCCACAAAATTACTCATTTCGGTGGCATAAGTTCTTGAGAAGTTTTGACAAAACATCGAAACTGACAATTGATTCTGATGAAGTTTCGTATTCTCATCAAAACGCATATTCTTATTTTGTTCAAAACTGATCGACTTCTGTCTGCTCTTACATCAACCCATCGTAAATTTCATCTAACTGCATACGTTTATCCGTTTTACAGGCGCACTTTATATATGAAATGTACGAGCATATCAATTGAAAAGTAATTTTGATGCAGTTTCTAACGCTGTTCAGTACGTAAATATGTATTCAGGTCATTATTGATAAAATTGATTCTGAAATTCTAGAATATTACTGTTGACATTTGATGATGAAATCACGATGCTGATACTGAACATTTCTCGTTTCTATGGGTGAGCTTGGGTGCAGACAGGCTAGCGTCTTTTGTGGCATATGGCCGACGTACATTTTCTTTCAGCTTACACACGCGGTGCTATTGGTTGGCATTCTTCGACGGTGCTCAAGTATCCATATAATGACTGATCGGTAGGTTTGGAATGTGTGTTAGCGTGCGATTATTTTTTTTTTTGCAGAATTGAGACTAGCATATTAAGGTTGTTTTATTTGGTAATTGACTTGTGAGTGTATTAGATGCCTCTTGTTTATGAATCTCCGTATTATTTAGATTTTTTGATAGAATTTGAAGTGTTTCTCAAACCGTAAGTGATGAACGCGATTCTTCCGTATCGCACAGCTGGCTTGAGCTGTTGTTTGGTGGGTTGATATATCAATCATTCAGTCCGCCCTTATATTAATGCGTCACGCTCGATGTGGTTGCGGTTTATCAGTGTTTTTTTTTAATGGCGTGCCCAGATGAACACCACTTATTGTGTGTAATATGGTGATGGGTGTAATTCAGTCCCTTAATAATGCTACTCTCTTTCATTTCCATATCGTCTATCATTCCTTTTAAGGGTCATGTCACTTAATATTTCTCAATTAACGGTACTTTGAGGAGAATCAACATATAATATGGAAAAGATGGCAGAGCCCTTTCTGCGCTGTGCTTTTTGTGCTTTATGAAAATGCTCATGAGAGATTGCATCCAGGTCAAGCTCCAGCTTGATTACGAGCCTTGTTCATTATACCTGAACTGGGAAATTTTATATGATCATTTTCTAAATTTTACGTAGTCTTTTGTTAAGACATAATGACGGCTGTATATTTAAGTGTGTATCTCCGAATGATCACTGTTTAAAATAGAACGCATATCACAGTTTTGCCTGAATAATAGTCGATGTTTATGACTTTATCAACTGATATCAAATCGTTAGTCAATCGTTTACTAGTTACTGAAGTGGTGGTCTGACCATAGGGTAGCATCATATTGAACGCGAGCTGTCTTTATCAGAATTATGACCCTCTTGGTTAAAGGTTACATTTGTTATTTTCGGTTTGAATAATTGGAAGTTCGATGTGATGGTTACTGCTTAACATACTATCGTTTATACGGTTTATAGTAAATAATGGCATGTATATATTATTACAGTTTGTCACTGTGAGGAGAAGAATGCGTGGCGGGTGGTGATAGTAAGGAGATTATTTATTATTGAGTTCGTTTCGCGATGCAGATTCAGTTTTTATTTGCAATCACATTGCTTTTTAATTTTGGTAAGTTGATTTCAAAGCTTCATGTTTTCGGAGCATTCCATGTACTTCGACTTTCGGAAATTCTAAGGTCCCAAATCAGAGAAATATGCTTTTTGGTATGAAACCACTGTATGTGAAATTTTTCTTCATAACAATTAGACCGAAAGGTAGCTTGGTGAACTTGATTTTTGCCTGATGCACGATTTCTGGAATTTCTAAGACCTTACCCCTCTGAAAAATGCACTCTGATCTCAGAACTACGTGTATGAAATTTCACGTGAAAAAAATTAGACTGAAAGGTCGTTGGATCAAACAATTCTTTGTTTAAGACGCCTAAGTGCATCTTATGGATAGCACGGTCTTTAAACCAAACTTTTTTTTGGCGAACTTCCGCAGAGAGTATTTCCAGTCACAAAGACACGACTATGAATGTGAGGCTAAAAAATTGTTGAGACTTGAAATTTGTACTTCACGGCGCATGAGGTAAAAGAAAGTCTTAGAGACCCTTGAAAATAATTTTTTGGAACGAAATTTTACACAAGTCTTTAGACCACAGCGCATATCATTCTGAGCTTGGAATTGCCATTTTCAGGGTTACATTTTCCCCGTAAAAAATTTTCTCACCTTGATGTGCAGTACCAAAATTTTTTCAGCTTTTTTGATTACTGTTGTTATTGAAGTGTCGTAACTTTTCATTTCATTCGTTACCCTTAGCAATGCATTTTTTAGTTGAAGCGCTCAACAGATTTGTGGATTACTATCAAACACTCAACTACGAACCACTATTGAATACGCGACAGAAACGTTCAGTTGCCGCGTTTTCTTCCCCTATTAGTTTGCATTTTATTGCCCATAACAGGTGCATATCAATAATTATAGCAGTCATTATTTGAATTTTCTGCTCGATATTCCATTCAACTCTCATCGATTTCATTCCTGTGTTAGAAACCAAGCGAAAATAATTTTAAAAAAATACATCTTTCTGGTCATTTAAAAACCTTTCCTCGCCTTAATAAATTCGTCGAGCTCAAAACGTTTCATGGCACTGCTATCTGAAGATATCTTCTTTATGGAGCATCTAATTTTGTTGTCAGCCAAACAATACTGACTCAGCTTTTGTACCTTCATTATCGAAAATCTTCAGACATCAGCATGCTGTTGAACTCTAATTTATTCGTATTCATTCTGATTCCAGGTCTTTCGATTTGAAGTTGCATCCCGTTGATGTAAGTTCGTCAGTATTTGACGAAGGTGCTGGTTTAGATGAGGATGGTAAAAGCGTTGAGTTATCGCCAAATGATTTTCTTTTTCATGGATATGACCAGTGTAAATCTTTCTCTACTTTTGGAAATCTCTTCAACAGATTGTATTGAAATTGATATGAATTGTGATGCTTTATCATTAAATTAATCAACTGAGATTAGTAGAACCGGAGATGGGGTCATACCGTTCGTGTCGTAATTGTTATGATTCTAGATGATGCGGGTTCAGCAGTTTATGGTTCAATATTAGACGGTGTTTTTGATGGACATATTCATTATAGTAATGGTGAATCATACACCGTTGATAAGATAGGACGGTATGTTGAAAGGGATAAGAGACCTTCTCATTTCCATTCAGTGATCTATTCAGGTAGTTATCGTTTTTAGTGATATTGTTGTTGTTTTTTCACTACTCATACTAGTGACGACATTTATTCGATCGGTTGATTTGACAGTCACCGAGAAATAGATGAGCTGGTCGTTTCTTTTAAAATTTATCATCGGTTTTTTCTTTCAGACAATTAAGATCGTCAGTAAAAACCCTTATTCTTCTTTTCATATCATCTCACTCTGAATAAATGAAACATGATGATTCGGTGCAGTAATAACATTCTTAAGTTGTGGTTAT